ATCCAAATTAGTAAAGGAGCGAAATATTATTCCCTAGGTTGCATTTAGAGAAATAGTTTTTCGACGACGAGTGAGTCAGTATGTGAAAGTCACAATAATTTATAAATACCTAGCATATATACAATAAAGACACGTCATACTGACCTGACTGCAGATTAAAAAAAAAAAATTATTATTATTATTATTTAAAAATTACTTTCTTTTTAAAAAACTTTTGTTAATAAATTTGATAGATTTTAAATTTATTTATATAGTTTGATTATTAAAAAACTATAAAGTGCAAAATAATATTATAGATAATAAATGTTAAAATAAAGATCTATACTATATCATCTAAGTTATGTATTATTAATAAATTAATAAACTTTTAAATTGAAAGTATAAAACAATAAATGACAAGTTTAAATATACTTATTTAGAAAAGTTACTATTTATTTCATATACTTTTGGATTATTGATTATTAATTTTATATTGTTTACTTAAACTTGTTTAATAATTCCTTTTTTTTTACTATTTCTAATATTTTTTGATAGAACTTTTTTTTTCAAAATCTTTTTACACATATTGAAAAACTCTATATAATATATTACATAATTCCAGTGAAATTGATTATATTGAATTCCTAATTCAAAGTATGATAGTTGAACAAAATGGACTACAGTAATGACCTGTAGGCAATGATTTTATTAATTAGAGGAATTATCCAAATTAGTAAAGGAGCGAAATATCATTCCCTAGGTTGCATTTAGAGAAATAGTTTTTTTGACGACGAGTGAATCAGTATGTGAAAGTCGTAACAATTTGTAAATACTTAACATATATACAATAAAGACATGCCATACTGACCTGACTGCGGGTTAAAAAAAAAAAAAAAAAGTTGAACAAAATGGATTGATTATTTTAGATAGTAAAAGTAAATTAATTTATTTGTAATTTTTTGTTTAGAAAAAATTGCATTACAAATTATTTTTAACTCAAAAGTATTATTATTAATAAATATGAACCTATTCAGTAGGTAAAGCAAAAAAAAAAAAAAACCAAAAAAATGATTAAGCTATGGCAGTGACAACCTGCCGGCAATGATGTATGGACTAGGAGCATTACGGAGCGAAATATTGTTCCCAAGGTCAAACTTAGAGACCTTTATTGCTTATGACGAATTAGTTAGATCTGATTAGAAAAGTTTAGCCATAATATATCATGCTGCTCGAATGAAAATGTACTTACAGTATGTATTCATCTGCTAACAATCTAGCCTGACTGGGGGTATTACAAAAAAAAAAAACTTATAATACTGTATAAGAGTATGATTTTAAGTTACCAATGTAATCAGTTTATTTTGATTTTTTATTATGTATAGATAATAAAGTTTTCGGATAATAAGATATTACTCACAAGTTGATGAACATTTAATTTGAAAAGGATAGTAGCAGCGTAGTGTTCGAGCTTGAATTAATTTATTTGCAAAGAGAAAATAGGTTCCTTGGGTGATGATATTTAAAAAATTTTTTCGAGAAAATTCGTGTTAGAATATACTGTATTATTCAAATTTTCAACATTGTTATTGTTTTTTTCAATTATTCGATTGTATAGTTGACATTATTTACAAAATTTTTTTGATATGCAAAGCTGCATAATCTCTAATGTTTATGTAGGAAAGAAACATGCAAATATGTTTGAGATTAATCTTAAATTAATTTTAAATTATTATATTTAAATGTTACTTTTTATAATGTAGTATGTGAGTCATTCTGCATCATATAATATTTCACGAGCCAAGAGCAACCTCATATTTCGTGAAATTTAACGACTTAATTACCTGCTCAATTTGGTGAGCAGTGTGTCCCTGCCTACAGACCAATGCTCCGCGCTGCCTATTGTATGTTTCATATTGTGCTTATCATGAAAATTGATACTGGAACATCAAGTTTAAAGAAGGCAAATCTTCTTTTGCATATAATATAACAAAGTTTATTGCATCCTATTTATCTTTAACACATACTATAAATGTACCCATTTAACTTTTCCAACTGGAAAATAATCAACTTTTCCAATCGAAAAATAAACCTATTATGCTTTACCATGATTTTACCCAAATATTATTCTTTCATTGTCTAGTTGTTGGCCTTATCAAAGTACAATTCAAAAAATAAGAGTAAAATAAAAAAATGATGATGATAAAATTTTGTGAAAATAGTGAAGCCCATTTGCTCATTGAAGTATTCGAAGAGCATTGAGCTTTTACCATCTCAGGCCGGACTATTGAATTTAGTTCCGGTTGGATTCAATGGCCTACAATTCATGTTCCTACGCGATGGATAAGCGCATTCACTTGCTTTGCGAGGATGCTGTATTCCAATTTTTCGTTACGCGTGCTAGTATTCCAAAAATGATTGGCGGCCTTTCTAATAAGGAAATCATCTTCTTCTCCTAAACCCCGAGCTTTAACCGAGAAGTTGACGCTAAACAGGTGAAACCCTTGGTAAGGCCTCCCAGATCTTTGAATTCCATGCCGGGTTAAGAGAGGTAGGATGCTTTCCGGATTGTCTTGTTGAGGAGGTGGAAAGACAAACTCTCTGTGATGTTGAATTTCAACTGCTAGGACAATGGCGCGAGAATTCATTCTTTATCACGTGACAAGGAGTTTCTTTTTTTTTTTTTTTAAAAAAAAAAAAAGAGAATTTCTTTCGAAAAAGTTGAAGTCTCTTTAGGATCAAAGTATTTAACACTTTTATACCGCACGGCATGTACCGTTCAGCATTGGATCTATATACAGTAAATAAATATCTACAATATATATTGTATATACGACCTATACCGTGTACAGTTGATTTGGCGAACGATAAATCTAAAAATTCAAAGTGCATGTGATCCTAGAACTTGTTGAATTCCAAATACGTGTTAGGCTGGACCTTGGAGAGTTTGTCTATAAGGCTCAATAGGATGGGGAGTGTTAGGAAAGGAAAGAGTGAAAAGACGCACGACTGGGAAATTCTCAATATCACACCGAATATCTGGAAACATGTCTACTTTCATCAGGACGTTTGTGCTTATGCCGTTATGTTTTGTTTACTGTATCATTTAAGGAATTATTATTCACTTCATATGTTACTAGAATGATGGACAAGTGTTTCAAACGTAAGATCCTCACGTGAGCTACCTGAAAACGACTATTGTTCGATACGTAATATTGCATATATTTTTTAATTAAACTTTTTTCAAAATCATCAATGATTTCTTTAGAATGATTAGAATATGATAGGGTGCGTCCAATCTTTTTTTTTTTCTTTAAAGGAACAGGAACGGATTGTATGCGTGTCAACAATGTGTTCACTTATATATATCTTATATATATTAACTTAACGATGCACTTTCCAAAGAGCTCGTTATTGTTATACACACCCTCCCTTTCCCTTCTCAATTTGCTTCTAATCATGTTATCGCGATCGAATGATCATATAGTTCGGCTAATCAACTCTTTTCCCTTTGATTGATTGGCATACACATCACAAATTGGTTTCTCATTTATACGCTCTGTGATCGATGCCTATAAATTGTGCGAGGGATCATCAGCTAGACAAAGATCTGTGACCAAAATTGGTGTTGATAAACCAGCATTAAAACAAACTACAAATGATTCCCAAATAATGCACAGATACGTTATAAATGTTTTGTCTTTTATTTATTTATATATAAATCATTCGGCCTCCAAACATGAAAAATTTTTTTTTGTACTGATGTACTTTTTTTTGCTCACGCTACCTATATATATATACTGTATATACTATATATAACAATCCTTGACCGAATGATTTATCGCTCATAACCTAATAATAAAGGAAAAAAAAGAAGAAAACCAGAAGAAAAACCAAAAAAGTAGTTATGAAAGTAATAATCTTCCTTGTCAACAAGGAGGTGTGCGATGGTATGGACTTTTCAATAAAAAGGGTATGGATCGGCTGTTTTTTTTTTTTTTTTTTTTTTGGTGGTTGACTCGGGTTCGAGATGTAAAGAAAAAAAAAGAAATGGAAACATAAGACGGAAGAGGTGTTGGAAAAAAAAAAAAAAAAAGAAGGTAATTTTTATATATATATATATAATATTTAACAACCCAAACGATGAGTTTGCGTCATCGAATGGAACGAAAAGGAAATGATACAATTGCGAAATATTTTTTGTGGTGGTGAAAGGAAACTATATAAATTGTCATACCTCTCGAGGAAAAGATATATTTGTATACATATATTAACAATCAATCATCATCATCACATGTCAAATGAGATGAATTTGAAGATGGAGGTTAACAAAATTTGTATATAAAGGAAGCCAAGCCGACGCAGCAACAAGAGGACGCAAAGATGATCAGAGTCTTTGGGGTGAGAAATGATCATTCATCATTTCTTTTCGGGAGATTGATTTGGATATTGTGGTACCTTGGTGCCGTTCGTGGCGCTCGCAGGCCAGTATCCTGTAGATGGCATGTACGCATTACTCGGTGCTGCGTATTGATTCAGGTGAGCTTGTTGATTGTATTGCGGATAGCCAGTGGACATGTATGGCGGTGCGGCGATACCACTGGTGCTCAATGTCATGCCATTGGCGATTCCACTGTATTGGTTATAAGGGTTCAAACCAAGGGTATAAGGTTGAGGTTGTGACATCTGATTTCCAGGTGTCTGAGGCTTTGGGGAAAAAGAAGAAGGCAGATAGGTATTCGACAAAATATGAGAATTAATTCCTTCAAAGATTTTTTGAATGCTCTAATGTGGATGTATGCGTACCTTTCTGTCACTATCGTAGGCATCATTGCTATTGTTATTGTCTACGGACGGTGAGTTATCATTGCCGTATACGGAGGAGTTTTGCGCAGAACGTGTCTAATAGATAAATAGCACGGTGGAGAGAGAAAAATAATGGTAAAGGAAGCAAAAGAGAAGTTTTTAAGTATCATATCATAAAGCTTCAGAGAGGCCCAGTCGGCTTTATTAATTAAACCAAATTTACGGGAATTTTGAAGTCGACAGATTTATGACGATTGTTTTGTGTGAACAGTATCAGGAGAAATAAAGCGTTTCATATTTACCGTATTAGGTGAATCTTGTCCCGATGGTGTGTCCGGGGCGTTCAGACAAGCCTGGATGAGGTTCTTCCCCTCGGGTTTGGTGACGAGAGGTTGAAGCTTCGGGGTGGTAAATGTATACACCAGACCCGTTTCTGATACAACCAGAAGTAATACTTGAGTCCCTGTCAAGGTACTAAGTTCGTATGCCTGTAAATATATTAAATTGGTATGCGAAGATTAGCTAACTCGTTGAACGAAAGAGGAAATTTTAATTTAAACAGAACGACAAATAAGGCAAGGGGTGATAATATGCAAGTTTACACGAAGCATATCTAACCTTTAAAAAGGTTAAAAACAAACAATAAGGTTTTATTTTATTTTCGGCATATAAATATTTGACCATTTTTCTTTATTGCATACCTTCTTCATTATTCCTGCCTTTCGCTTGCTAAATGTGATATGGCGTCTACTCTTGTCATCGATATACTCGATTTTTATTTTACGACGACCGGCCCGTTTCTCACTCTTACTTCCAGTTTCGTCCTCGCCGGAGTCAAGTTCCTCGTCATCTTCGTGTTCTCGTTTGGTTCCTCTCGGAGTTGACTGTTCAGACAGGTCAACTGAGGCGTTACTTTGCTTTCGTTGATTGTTTGGACTCGCAAGACCGCTCATTTCTGATGTATGCATTCAACAACTGATAGGTGGTCTTTTTAGTATTGGGTGAAACTATGGTAACCTTTTTGCGTAGTCTGTATGCGTAAAAAAGTAAGTGAGAAAAAAAAAAAGGAAATGAAGACCAGAAGGTTCGGTTATAGTTTGCCTTGGCAAATGGTTGCATCATGTGTCACGTGCTCATGTGAATAACGAGATGTCGTGTTCACATCAACGTAATACAATGCATGTATGTAAATGAGTAAAAATGGAAATCAATATTGCCAATAATCTGCAATGCACTAATAATGAAAATTCTATGTTGAAAATTTCACGTTCTGACAGTATGATTCAAAACTCTGCTGAGGTTCCATTTCCTAATGATGAAATCCCGAATGGTAAATAAAGATGAGGTGGGTGTGAATGGGCGGGACTGGTAAATCAGGAATTGGAAGGGGCTCAAGGAAGATTTGAAAATGGGAAAGCAAAGACGAGAAGGATAAATGCGTGGAATGATAAACTTCCGCGTGTAAAAGTGGTGTCGGTGTCTTTCAAACTCAGAATTTTGCGTGAAGAATAGGGAATCTTTTGATGTTAGTCGCATCGCACACTGCAGATTAAGGCAATCGAAAGAGCGAACTAACAATTCTCGTGGCGAGGGGAAACGAGGAGGAAAGAAGGGAGGAGAGGAGGAAAGGAAAGAACCAAATACCTTTTTCTTTTCTTTTTTTTTCGGAGAGCAGTTCCTACGTTCCCGGATAACTTTTGAACTTTGATTTTCAAAGGTTATTGAACACACACGATTAAAGTACGACGAAACGATTAGACGGAGGGGAAAAACGAAGTATTTTATTGTTCCTATGGAGTTCCAAACAGTTGGCTTGAACAAAAAGGGACAAAAGGGACAACAAATTGGACGGAAAAGGATTCTGGGTTTTTTTATATCCCAATTCTAGTCAAAGGGTCTGTCCGTCAGATACACATAATATCATAATGTTGAGTATAATAATTAAAAAAATATATCTAACTCTTAAATCAGGAACAAAATCGGAAAAGTCGGAATCCAAACATCAATACAATTAACTATTTACATTACATCACATCACATATATAACTTTAACTGAGTTTATCATGAATTTTTTTTATTAAACAATAAAGTCAAATACGTAAACCACAAAAAAATGGCTGAAATTAATTATGCTGGGTAAAGTAAATTTATGTAATATTTACAAAAGGGCTCATTTTATGTTACCAACTCTTGAACTTTGTCTTTGTTTTTTTTTTTTTTTTTTTTAAAAGAAAAAAAAACTTAAATGGAACTCTTGTGTCCATTTTAGAAAATCTTCCAGTAATTTTCCTGAATTGAAAGTACAAACAACGATTTTTTTAGTATGGTTCTCGCCATTCATGATCCTGTCCTGCGTATTAATGCTCACTCCCAACACGACGCTCTTGTAGATACACTGATAACGATAATATGAATAAAAAAGTCCGGAACGGGAAACCCGGTGTCACAAGAAACTTCAGGGGGGTGAGTGATTCGATTTATTATTGGTTTGGATTCTAATTGAATGATAAGGTAATTTAACTTGCAAGTCTCAGAACATTGTTCTATCTTTAATTACCGTTTATCATATTTCATTCTATGGTGTTAATTTTTGTTCTATTTTTAGGTGTACCGCATATACGTGCGCATTATAGTTCTTATTTTAAAAAATTTAATAATAATAGAAATTTTTAAGAATAAATAAATAAATATTACTATTTTTAATATTTTATTTATTTAGTATATAGCATGTAATCAATTATTATTATTGTTGTTGGTTTGTTTAATTCATGATTATAAATTATAATTAATCATGTATTAAATAATAATATTATTATTATTAATTTTTTTTTTTTAATACAACTTTTTTTCTTTTTTTTTAAATCACAATTATGTCACATGGCTTAATCTTTATTATAAAGTTTATAACTATCTACTATTACAGATTTTTTCATATAATAACTAACTCATCATAGTATCAAAGTATCACTAATCAAAAAAAAATAATTTGACATATTGTCACTCATATAATATTTGATAAAAAATAAACAATTTGATAAAAATATGACATAAATAAATTGATAAAAATTCATCAAAAAATTCATTAATAATTTGTCAAATAATTCATTAACTATTTAGTAAAAATTCATTAACAATTCAATAAAAGTTTATCACAAAATTATTTATTAGTAATTCAATAAAAATTTGATATTAATTTATTAATAATTTGTCAAAAATTTATTAATAATTTATTGATAATTTGACAACTATTTATCAAAAACTATTTATCAAAAATTATTTATTAAAAATTTATCAAATATTCATTAAAATTTCATTAACTATTTATTAAAATTTTATCAATTATTTATTAAAACTATTCATTAAAAATTCATCAATTATTTATTAACAATAAAATAAAAAAAAATGAATAAATTTATATATAAAATTTTCTGAATTGAAATTATATTTATAAATTATAAATAATATAAACTATAATATAATATACAATATATAATTTATATTATTATAATTTAATTAATTATATATTATTATGTAAATAATATCAAATAATTTATAAATATAAATAATTTTTTTTATAAGTTTTATAAATTTTTGTTAAATACTAAATAAATAATTATCAAATTTTTAATGAATGTTTAATGAACTTTTAATAAATAGTTTTGATAAATAGTTGTAGATTTTTTAATGAATAGTTGATGAATTTTTAATGAATAGTTTTGATAAATAATTATCAAATTTTTAATAAATAATTTTAAAAAATAGTTAATAAATTATTAATAAAATATTAATAAATTTTAATGAATAATTAATAAATTAATATTGAATTTTTATTGAATTGCTAATAAATAATTTTATAATAAACTTTTATTAAATTATTAATAAATTTTTACTAAATAGTTAATAAATTATTTGATGAATTGTTAATAAATTATTTAATAAATTATTAACAATTTTTTTGATAATTTATTGTTAAACTTTTAATTGATAAATCTTTGATTATCAAATTTTTGATTATTGAATTTTTGAATACTATTTTATTTTTGAAATAATAATATATCAAGTAACAGCAATTAAAAAGAATTCAGTAATATTTTTATTATTAAATTTAATTAAATTCAGTAATATTTTTATTATTAAATTTAATTAAATTCAGTAATATTTTTATTATTAAATTTAATTAAATTTGATAATAATTCAACTACAGAATCATTAAATTATACAAAAACTCTTTTTCGATCACTTGAGGTGCAGCAACCTCGACGATAGGGAAATAGCTTCCAATATCAAAAACTCTAAGGTTTTACAGCTCAAACAATAAAGACTAGAAAGACAACTAAGAGTAGAAAGAAGGAGCAAGAAAACTATCTCCATTCATAACCAACCATATGTCAAGAAGCCTATCAACACATAGACAAAGACAACATCAACTTCGGCAACAGGTCCCAACCATGACAGTAAGAAATCAGACTTTCAGGTAAAAATAGGTCTCTAAAGGGGGAGACAGGGACATAAATCAAATGTTCCTCACTAGGAAAAATTAAAATTTTTAAATTAATAATTATAAAAAAACTACCCACAATTGTTCTCCATTATTTAAATCATTTATTTATAACATTTTCTGACTTTTGTCCCTATTAAAGTAAAGGGCTATGAATTTTGTTCCTCAAAAAGGGACATAAGTGATCTGCGAAATTTTATATGCTAAATACTTTAGGGACCCATCATTACTCTCAGGAGATCATAATGGAAACAACGGCTGGCATAACAACCATGGACATAGAAACTGAAATCCCCCAGGTAGAACGAACTTGGAGCGAACAGATAGAAGAAACAAAAAACATCAGCAGAATTCTCCTGACCAAACAAGCTCTCCAGACAGAAGGAGCGATAAACTAGGAACACACTCAAAAAGAAGAAGTAAGTACTCTATATGGAACATAATACTCTACAACACAGGATGAACATGTTACCGAAGCAAATGAGGAGGAGCTCTGAACACTAGTAGAGTGGAAGAACAAAATGATCCACCCCACCAACAAACCTAGACCGAGATTACCAATCAATCCAGAAGTTAGGTATGGAAGAAAGAGATTCAAAATGGGAATTGACGCCAACATCACCTCAGGTCAAAATAACAATGCAAAGATCTTCTATTTAACTAAAGCTCTCAACTTCCCTCTAGAACTCATTGCAATCCACAGTGAACACAACAAGGAAAGCATCTGAATCATTATGATCTTTGGGGATCAACAAGCAGCAGATGATGCAATCAGAATAAAGTTACCAAATCTAGGTGACAATAAGCTCACACATATGCAGTTCAGCAAACAAATAATTGAAAAAGGTAAATCCATAGTGGTCTGGAACATATCTCTGAACACAAGACTTATGGAGGTTAGACAACACTTCGTTAAATTTGACAATATAGCAAGCATTAGTATGAAAACACAAAACCTGTGGCAGTGTGCCACTATTACTTTTGAAGAAGAAACAGTCAAGAAGGATCTAGTTAAATAGCGTAGCATTCTTATTAAAAGGGATGCAGTCAGGATAAATAATATCAACTGGTCCATGGATCAGATGAGAGAATGACACAGTATAGCAGTTAAACTGGTTAACTTGTCACTGGGTACTATAGCATGGGACCTAAGACAGGCTCTTGGAGAAATGAAGGTATGTATATGTTTCATACTTCGCATATGCTCAACCAGATATCGATCCAAAAAATTTGCAGTAGTAAGTTTCAAATTAAGAGAGGATCTCTTTGAAGCCAAGGACTTGACCTTCACTCTAGGTAAAACTAACATCTCCCTGTTCCCCATCAATATTGCACTATGCTCTATCTGTGATGCGACAACACACCTTGCCTGAGACTGTCCCATCAAAGAATGAAGGAAACAATGGAGGGATTTCAACCACACCCAAACTGAAAAGTACGAACAAATCTACAATA